TTATTTGAAACATAACCTGTGAGCTCAAGTCAACACAATTCATAAATGGATCGTTTTGGTCCGATTTGACACTAAAATTGTGGGTTGGGCGATGAACCCAACTCATTGAAATTTGAACTGATTTGGTCCCAAATTAGGCCAAACCTGATTCAATCCAACTCATGTACACCTTGGGGTGTCCACTATGCGATTTGGACGATTTTGACGCTAAAAGTCATCTGAATCGCAAGAGAAAAGAATTGTGATTTGGCTAGGTTCGGTTGGCTTTTAGAAATAAAATTGAATCGAACCAATGCAGTTTGATTTGGTTCGGTTGGTTCAATTTTTTCAAAAAAAATTATTGAGCCATACTTACACATATAAATGACAACATAACTTTTTATTTAGTCATTCATACATTACCAAATAAGAAAAAACCTATCCTTTTTAGACAACAACTTCTCATTTAATATATAAAAATTAGATTATACAAAAAATGAATGATAAAAATAAAACAATAACATAAAACAATATCAAAAATATTATAATGAATAAAAAAATATATGAGATTGGAGATTAGTGAAGATGAAAAAGAAAGAGTAGAAGAGATGTGAGATTAGAGAAGAAGAGGTGCGATAAAAACGAATTTGGAATAGAGAAAATTAGTATAAAAATGAGAAGGTGAAAAAGAAAGAGTATAAGAGAGTATAGATTAGTGAATAAGAGACAAGATGTATCTGGTGAAGAATGTGTGATACTGCTATGAGAGATTTAAGAAGACTAAATTAAAACCCTAAGTGTGAGAAAGAGAAAATCAGTTGTAATGGTAAGGCTAAGGCATAATAAGTTTAGGTTTAGGTTGGATATGAATTAAGTGAAATTTAGGTTGTAACATAATGTGATTTGGTTCGATTTGCAAAATACAAACCGCAAACCAAACTAAACTGCATGGTTTTGTTAAAGTATTACACAAACACATCCGAACTAAATGCGGTTTTCGATTTGGTTTGGTTCAGGTTAGGATTTTCTATTGGGATGGTTCGGTTTTGAACACCCCTATATACACCCCTAACAATGACTTATTATTCACATTATTTTATAGTTGGTCCATGTCATATAGATTCAACATAGTTATACGTTGATTGCAGACAACCCAACACAATTTTATCTGGGTTTAAAACCGACTATACATCATAAAAGGAAAAATATCCATTTTGCTCCCTTAACTATACCCTCAGGTTCACTTGGGTCCCTTAATTTTTTTCCGTGTCACTTTGGTCCTATAACTTTTGGATCCTTGCCACGTTTGTCCTTCTATTATTGAACGTTAGTTAAACTCAAAAATAGAGGTCAAGTGGCATGTTACTAGATGAGGTGGATGCATAACTCAAGTTAGTTTCTAAAACACTATGTTATCGTGGCTATGATGTGGATATGTCAATATAGTATCAAGGAAACGATAACGAAGGAACACAAGCAGCTGCAAATACAAGAATGCGAACTTTGAGGCGATTGAAGACGAACTCTAAGCAGTTGGCGAAAGCAAGCGAACTATGAGGCGATTGAAGACGAACTTTAAGAGGCAAACGAATTTCGATAACATGTAAGTATTAGTTGTATGTTTTTGTTGATTTAGGTTTTTTTTATAGATTTGTAGAATTAGAGTTTTTCTGTAGATTTGTAGATTTGTAGATTTGTTTTTTTTTTTTGTAGATTTAGGGATTTTCGTATTTTAGGGCTTTGACGTACTCTATTTGAAACTCAATATAAGGAAAAATGGACGAATTTCTAAAACACAAAATTCATCACAGTTGTGAATTTATTGATCCTGAACTAAGTGTGTATGAAGAAGGACTAGTAGATGATTTGAACGTAGATGTTAATAAGTGAAGTTATTTCAAGTTAGTTGGTGTATTGAAAGAGTCAAGCTATAGGGACTTTGAGACTATATATTACAAGGACCCTACATTTGGGATGAATGCCCTTGTTAATGACAAAGGTGCTTTAGAAATTACAGATTTTTATAAGATGCACCAAAGTGTTGATATATATCTACATTCAACATACTTTGTCTCAACCTGATTATTGTGATGGTGTTGTTAATGATGTTGAAGAAGGTATTGATAACGTTGTAGATGAGGTGGAAGAGTTGCTTAATAAATTGCATGATGACCTTGTATATGAGTTAAATGCTAGTAATGCTAGTGGAGAAGAAGGTAATGTTGCAGTGGACTTAACCAATGTTGCGGTGAATGATGTCAATGTTGGAGTGGGATCTAATAATGCTGGAGTGAATGATGTCAATGTTGGAGAGTACGATGTCAATGTTGGTGAGGTGCATGATGAATATAGTTCTGATAATAGTGAGAATGACAACTACCATTATGATAGTGCTATGGAGGTATCATTTCAGGATGAATCTGATGGGTATGATGAGATGGATGAGATGGAGGAAGATGAACTTGATAATGTGATTGGATATGAAAATGATGGAAATAGAAAAAGGGAAAAATAGTTGGAAGAGGATAAAGAAGAATTTAAAGGGAAATAGTGGGAAGAGGATAAAGAAAAATTTAAAGGGAGTAATAATGATAGTGAAAATCTGCAAAGCGGTTGTGAGAGTGATGATAGTAGTGGAGCTAAAAGGAAGAAGTACCCAATTTTTTAGGATATAAAAGGATATGTCCAATTAAAAATGGGAGGTACGAATGTATTTTACTTCAAAAAGTGTGATTAAGGAATCAATAACCTCATATGCTGTTCAAAATGGTAGAGACCTGAAATTTTAAAAAAATGGAAAAAATGGTGAGGGTGAAATGTAAAGATGATTGTGAGTGGGAGGTCTGTTGGAGCAAATTGTCAAATGAAGAATCTTGGCAAGTAAGGAAGGTAATTGACAAATATAGTTGTAGCGGAGATTTTAATATGAAGATGATGAGTACACAATGGTTGAGCAAGATAATTCAGAATTCCTTGAAAAATAATCATAGGATAAAGGCAAAGGATATCAAGGAAAAGGCTTTGAAGAAGTGGAATGTACAAGTAAACAAGACTAAAGCAATAAGAGAAAGACTTGCAGCTAGGGGCAGGGTTGATGGTTCTTTCTTGGGAGATTACACTAGAATCTATGACTATTGTCATGAGCTTTTAAGGTCTAATCCAAGTTCAACAGTTGTTGAACCTGCTCAAGAAGGTGTTAAGGATCAAAGACCCTTTTTAATAAGGTTGTACATATGATATGCAGCATGTAAAGAGAGCTTCAAATTATGTAGACATTTCACAGGTATGGATGGATGCTTTTAGAATGGGCTTTATGGAGGAAAAATCCAGTCACCAATAGGTAGGGATCCTAATGATCAGAAACTTCCTATAGTATTTGTTGTTGTGGAGGGTGAAAATAAGGATAGTTGGACATGGTTCTTGGAGCTGTTGATTAATGACTTAGGTGGTAGAAATGAATGTCTCTCATACACATTCATTTCAGACCAACAAAAGGTATATAAACTTGATTGTTTCCTCTTTTTATTACATTATTTTTCCTGTTATGTAACCTTGCTAACTTTATGCTTTGCTGATGTTTTGCAGGGTCTCTTACCTTCCATGGATGATCTTTTGCCTAATGTTGAACAAAGATTCTCTGTTAGGCATTTGTATAACAATTTCAGAATGTTAAAGGAAATTATATGGAGGGCTGAAAATTCAACATACTCATAAGCTTGAGAAAGAGAGATGATGGGAATAAGATTGATCCGTCAAGATGCATATCTTCATATGATGAAGACCCCGCCAAGATATTGGAGTAAATCATATTTTAGGACAACTAACAAGTGTGATGTTGTTCTCAACAACCTGTCAGAGTCTTTTAATAGTGTTACTCTTGAGTCAAGGGTTAAACCATTAGTCACTATGCTGGAAGAGATCAGAACCTATATTATGGAGAGATGGGCAAACAATAGGATGAGGTTACTAAATGTCTTTGATGATGAAATTTTGCCTAACATTAAAAGGAAGATTGATAGAACAAGCACATTCACCAACTTATAGCTTGTCAGGTATGAAACATTGGTTATTACTAGTACTTATAACAATGATTATTAGGGTTATTATGGTTATTACAGATACTTATTATAGGATGTCTAATGAACACATGTTTGAAGTAAGGCATCTTGAAAACCCAACAGAAACATTCACTATAAATTTAAAAGATTACACATGTTTTTGCAGAAGATGAGAGCTCACAGGACTTTCATGTGTTCACTATAAATTTTAACATTGATGATTATATCCCTAAGTATTACAAGAAATCTAGGTACATGGCAGTCTACAAGCATGTGATTTACCTTGTGATGGATCTAATCATTTTGCATTGCATATCAAGTGAACCTAAGAAGATAGTTAAGAGATAAAAATAATATTTTGCCCGTGACAAAACTTACATAGGCAAGACTTGAATCAAACAGCATACATTTTTATATTTAAATTTGATGAATTGCTATCTCAACTAACTCAAATTGCAAGGTGAATCAACAAAATTCATGATTAGAAAAGACCAAAAACACCTTGAACGATAGTGCAATGGTATGGGGCTAACAAAAAGAAAAATGAATGTAGAGAACCTGGTTTTTCTCTTATCATCATTTCTTGTTTCTTATTATGTGCTTAAAATGCTTTTTCCTTCCAGTGTGTAGTTAGGTTTTTATATCTGGTTAGGATGATGAACCTTTGTTGGATTATTGCTGTTCAGTCGACAGCATCATTTTCCAATAACTTCAAACAATGTGACCCTGAAGTTCACTCAGACAGACAATGCTTAAATAGCTCCTATGAGCAATAGGATTTTCATTTTTACAAAATAAGTTGAGATAAATTACAAATAATCATTTTGACATATCAAACACTGCACACAGAAATAAGTGCTTATAAGTTAAAGGAAATAAAGTCAACACACCCTTCAGAAAGTTGCAAGAAACAATACTCCATTCCCCAGAAACACTTAAATTAGAAGTGAAAAAACTCTAATCTCATTGAAAACTTGACTGGCTGCTGATCTCCATATCTGCCTGTCCGGTCACTTTGATCATATTAATTTCTTCTATCAATTCGGTATGCTCGATCTTGTTTTCGAGACCACTCACGTCACTGTCATTGTTCACATTACTCAAGTTACCGTTGTTAGCATTCGAAGTGCGATGTTTTCTCTGAGCAACAGCGCCTTTCTCCTTGACCCCTTCAAATGAATTATTTGCACCACTGTTGCTCTTTCGCCGGCCCAGCTTTGGAGATTTTGCACGTGTCGGTGGTAGCTGGTCCATACATGTTAACTTTTGTCATGAACATGTTTATGCGTATATAATTTGATGATTATGTGTTGTTTTTATGTGACTGTCGATTAAATTTGTTGAGAGATTAACATGAACTACAACATTGTCTTTGCTACAAAAATTGAACCTAGTATATGATACTGTTATAAGGGCCTAGTTGAGAGTGTTTATTGACATAAGCACTTGTGAGATTGTTTGGGAAAATTTATGAAAACAACTTATGAGCTATAACATGTTTATAAGTTATTTTCAGCTTATTTCCTTAACTTCCCATGATAGCTTTTAAAAAACGGGGCTTGTAGCTTATTATATATAAACAGTTTGAATTCATTTTATCCTTTGGCATAAAAATAGCTTTTGCTTAAGCACTTAAATGATAAACGCTTGATTAAGTTGTTATCTAAACCGATCCTAAGTATAAGTACAAGAACATTACGTACCTTCTTCAATTCAACCTTAGGTGGAGGCCCCTCATGGTAAAAACTTGGCATAGGGCTTGCCTTAAACTTTAAACTCCTCCTCAGCTGTTTGATGGCTTCCTCTTTCTCTTCCTTAAATGTTGAAGAAATTAGAGTGAGATAACTAATACAAGTGTATATTTATACCCAGAAAAGAAGCAACAAAACGGCAATGTAAGTCTTCTGTACCTTGCTCCTTGCTTCACTTTGATTCTTCTCCGCTTCCATTGCTTGTTGCTTTTCCTCTAATTTTGAATAAAACTATGGCACACACAAAAAGGGACCATGCATTTTAAAAAACTTTCATGTTTGTTTTATCAGTGGAAATGGGTAGAGAAAGCTTCTGAAATAAAGAGGCTCAAATTAATCCACAGGTTTTACCTCCTTCCTTCTTTGTGCACGCTCAGTCGACCGAAAGCTTGGAGCAGAAGCAACAGTTGCCCTGGATTTGTATGAATGCACAGAAGCAGCAGTTCTTTACACAGTCAAGGAGCAATATCAATTTCAGAAGTAAAAGAATCATTGCAAGAATAAGAAAAACATGAGATGAGATTTTAACACCCTTAAACAAAAAGTTTTAAAAGGATACATAGATGCAACTGAACAAGAATCGTCCTCATCAGAATGCTTCTTGTTATCAGGTTTCAACGGTTTTCTTGTGACTGAAGGAGGCTTCAACTGCAAGGTATAAACAGTCAAATTAAATGTTTCAAGACAAACTCTGAGTGCAAGCAAAGTAACAAATTAACCATAAATAACTCATCAATCTATTCAACAATGGAGGAAGCGGATTCAACATAAGTATATACCTGATTCTGTTTGAGCATAGTGGAAGTTAGCACTTTCTTTTTATTTACAGATTTTACTCCGTTGCTGCCCTTGTTATCTTCTTCAAAAGTAGGACGTGTTACAATTGTAGCACGCCTCTCAGTTGCTAGGGAAAATGGTTGTGGAACTGTAGGTTTGATTTGAACACTTCCATTACACTTACCGCGAATACCCCCAACAGAAGGTCTTGCTCCATGCTTCGCAGTATCTCGCGGCTTGTCACCGCCCCTTGTTTTATGCGGTTTCAAGTTTTTCTCATTGAGAACACCCTCAAAATCCGAGGTTAACTTCTCGTTGCTTATTCTAATGTTAGGCACATCAGACGCCGCCTTAACAGAAACTTCTGTTGTACATTCCTTCACCTCGTATTCCTTTGCGCTCTCCCCTGAACTATGATGTTCCGTAGTCTCATTGATATGCTCATAAGCCTCTGCAATATTGTGATTACTATCAGTTCCGGTTTCATGAACCGAATCATGCGAAATTCCATCGGAATAGACTACGACATGATCTGGCTCCTTGATGACACAAATATCTGAATCTTCTATTCCCATTGCACTCTATAACGAAGAAAGAGTCAGAACAAAAAAAATGAATTGTTATCTCTTAGAACATATCCACACAACATGTATATAAATACTCTTACACCAAACATGCCACAAAATTTAACTATTTTAATAAACTCTAGAAGGCATAAGAATATTCTCTAGAAATCATAATAATTATTTTCAACAAAAAGAAAAAGTTGAACTATGGGACCAAAGATTAATTTTAAAAAACCAAGTAACAAACAGGACAAATTCCAAAAGCATTGAAGTTGTTAGCATATAAACAAATAATATATAAAAATATAGAACAAATTAACATTATCTAGCAAAGTAAAGTAAAACAAAAACACATAAAAGGAAAGTAATGAAATTGGTTGGCAAGCATCTTGAATCAATGATTAAAACTCTAATAATTCAAAATTAACAACTCAATAACTATACGATTACCAACAAAGCATCCTATGCTAGACAAACTAAGTGGTTGGTTTAAAGAACAAGACAGAAACGAAAGATTGTGAATTGTAAAATTCAAAATGTACACATTATTATTATTATTATTATCCTAAAACTGGATCCAACCATATTTCAAACATCAACAGACATCGTAAGGAGAGAGAAACAAACAGATCTCAGAAAGAAAGTGGATGAGAATGACTTACATTTGGAGGTTTGGATCTGGAGAGAAATAATGGAAGTGACTGTGTTTGTTTGAGTTATTATGATGAGTTTGTAAATTTTGGAGTTTTTGTTTTGATTAATGTTGTGGTTTTATTTATATGTGTTTAGTCGGTCTCACGCCGTTTCTTGACGGTGTTAAGTTCCACCTTTCCAATTTTTGAATTTGAATTTCTGCCAAATTCTACTGTCCACCACTTTCACTTTCATACCTTCATTATTTATTTATCTTAAATTAAATACTTTTTTTTGACTTTTTTTATTTTAATTGCATGTTTTGGGTGTGGCTTTTGTTTCCCTCTGCATCTATTTGAAAAAAAATACTTTATCAATGCTTTTTTTAGAGCCACCAGTTATAAGCTTTTGAGAATCAATCATTTTCAAATGCAACTAATTGGGTTAGCTTATTGGTAGGATTAGGAGAATAAATAATCAATCAATCAATAACTAAATAAATAAATAATAAATAATAATAATATATAATATTGAATTAGATGAATATCATGTGTTAAAAAGTTTTAAAACAACATAAATGAGAGTGGTTATAATCTCATTCTGGACGTAAAGTACAAACTAATAGTGTCGGTTGTCATTATATTATAACATATCCACATACTTATTATATAAGTTGTATTATTATCCAGCTAAGCACACTTAATTACCTCACTAATATAACTAATCAAAAAAACTCAAACCTTTTATACGATGATAGTTTTAGCTTCTGTTTTTTTTTTTCACTTCTAAGGATGACCACAAAGCATGATGTCCATATCTTTGTATAAAAGCGATTAAAAGAAAAGACACTTCATCTAAAGCATTGCTTAGACTCTATAATATACTTGACTGCTCTTGCATAACCCCTTGATAAATGCCCAACACCCTCTTGCAATTTTTCTATAATCATATTTTACTATTTTATGACTTATACTATGGCTTTTAACTTATATATTAAAGGCTATTTTAATTATAGTAACTAAGATTTTGAATGCAACTTGTGGATAATTGACAAAGGTAAGATGTCTTTTCCCTCCATACAGAATGGTCCAACTACAAGGATATAATAACACTATTCTGGTTGGGGTATATTTGAAATTCGAAATTTATTTAATCTAAGCTGTAACAGAAATAAATTACATGTCCTTGTCTTGCAATGAGAGTCAACATAAGATATTATATTACTGGAGGGACAATTTGGCTAAGGTGAAAGCCAATACTTTTACACCATTTGACATGTCTTCAATACTAGAAAATTCTTCAGGCTTATGGCTGTATCCTGCAAAAGCGACAAGAACAAGAATATTGATAAAGTATTTTCTTTATAAATATGTTAGAAACAAGAACACCAGTTACGACACTGACACTGACAGGTCGACACATGTAATAATTTAAGAAAATAGAAGTGATTGAACATAATAACATGGTGGGTTTTGTGCAGTGTCAGACATCAGACACATCTTCAATCTGAAATTTCAGTGCTACAAGGTTCAGCTTGATTGTTGATTGCAAATAGCACAAAAAGAGCAGTAAATACCTTTGTAGCATGGAATGAAAATCATGCCCATTGGAGACACCCTGAAATTACATAACATACATGAGCAGCTGATAGTTTATATAAGCACAATTAAACCCGTTTGAACCTGTCTTCTTGCAAATACCTGGCCATAAACAGAGAGTCGTGATAGGCTCGACTAATCATTAACTTGCTCGTCAAGTTTAGCTCTTTTGTTGCAGTTTCCATTGCATTGATGACTGCTTTATCAGATGGGGCCGGTGGATCCTGATTAATGACATGAAATTCGGAGAGCTTGACACCTCGTGTTTTGGTTATTCTAATTGCTGTTTCATGAATTTTATCAATAACTTGGTTTCGCCGTTCCTCATCGATGTCCCTAGTGTCTGCAAAAGCACAAAAACAATTACAACGTAAATATCTATGTTACCAACTATAGTATATACTAGTAACTGGAACTATCTATAGGTTGAGAGTGAAAATTCTAAGCAATTCTCTGAAATAAAAATAAATGAATAAACAACTCTTGCATGAATGCCAGGTACGACTCAAGTTTCTTGTAAATACATACCAATTTCTATGTGCGATTTGCTAGGGATACTATTGATTGCTCCAGGATGCAGTTCCAGGATACCTTGTAAAATAAGAGGTTGTTTTAAATGAGGGTGTGTTTTTGTTTAATCAAATTGAGTGCTGCAATAATAACTTACCAACAGTGCCAACAGTATCAATAGATCCAGATTCCAAGACATGTTTCTCAACAGCCAGGGCTAATTCAGCAGCTGCAAGACCAGCATCATTTCTGCTCCATTTGATTTAAAAATTATACTTGGAACTTTAGAGATCGTGAATTAACAAATTCCAACTTCAAATGGGATCGGCGAAACAAACTAGCAAATATAACACAATCAAGCAATAGCGCACTACTATCGAAAAGGATAAGGATGCAATCCATGGAAGAAAATGAAAAATATATATTTTAAGATAGCAAGCAGCCACCTGTTAGGCATAAGGACGGCACCTGCATGGCCACCATTGCCTTCAAACTCAACCCTTAGACTTGCAGGAGCTGCAATGGCAGTGACTATGCCGATAGATATGCCTGGATCAAGAAACAAAATGACATATTATGATTATTTAAAGTTTTGGCTAACACAAAGATTATGTTAGCCCAGAGATATGTACCTTCATCCTCCAGAATAGGCCCTTGTTCTATGTGCAGTTCTACAAAAGCAGAATATGTTCCTTTCTTTAAAAACACACTCGATAAATCATTTTCGTCTTTTGCGTATCCAGCCGACCTTGCAGCATCTAAGAAGGATATGTTCTGACTATCAGTTATTGTCTGTAGAGTATTTGCAAGATTCTCACTCCCAGCCAATAAGCGGCTGCACAAAAGTAACAAATGTTGAAACTTAGAGTAGAGTATGGTGTCTAAATTAGTCAATGAAAGTAACAACGGCTGTTTCTGACCTTCCTAGGCAACTTATTCCAAAGCGTGTGGGTTCTTCTGATGTGAATAATATGACTTCCAATGGTCTTTTAGGTTTGAAGCTGGACCTGTAAAGGCTTTAGTCAGTATTGCAAATATTGCTATTCACAGAAGAGGGTAACGATTGAGTGATGTGCATGTTTGTATGTCCTTTCTTGCGACCCGTTGTGGTTTCACCATAGTAGAATCATAAAGTCAGAGAATTGTAGAAGTCGTCAATCGTACGCGGTTATCGTGAAAACGTGGCTTTCAAACACACTATATATGACAAATTCATTCTTTGAAAATACAGAACAGTGAAAGGCCATTGTAAAATTCAAGATGCCAAGACATTCAGCCTTGCTTACTAATAATCAGAAGAAACCAACTAATGACAACTATCAATATCATATTCTGCACATTCAATTAAGCCTGTATCAGCCATAATAAGAAACACAAAAACCTTTTCAGGACATTGATGGCTTCAATGGCACCTAAAACACCAACAACTCCGTCGTATTTTCCCGAATAAGGTATAGCATCGATGTGCGAACCTGTTGCAACTGCAGCAAGCTCGGGCTCACTGCCATCCCTACATAAAGTAAGCACGGGTATAACCATCTATTAGTCAACAATTTACAAGCAATCGGTGACGTGAAGAGGAAAGATTAAGATGTTAATATGAATTGGAAGACCCAGTCAAAGATGAGCTGATCATATTAAACACAGAAAGCCTTCGAGGACAAACATTTGAGGAACAAACACTCACCAACGACCAAATATGTTACCAACAGCATCCTCTCTCACAGATAAACCAGCATTTCCCATGAGGTTTTTCACATACCTACAGATTGAAAATAATAGTAAAGTTTTTAAAGGCAAATATCTCACATTCTAAAGAAAAATATAGTCAAACTCGTTGACTACTTTATTCAAACTTAATGTCATTCATATATATCCTTTTTGCACCCATTAATTTAACCTTTGAATCAATTTAGTACTACATCAACTATGCTTTTTTTTTCACGGAATCATTATCATACCTAAATTTATAGCAATACACACTAATCATCTCATTGTATTCAAATACCTAGACAATATTTCCCCTTCATTTAACATTTACTAATTGATTAACATGCATAAATTCTATAGCACTATAGCACTTTGTTTCTAATTCAAGTCAACATAGTATAAAACATCTGAAGTTTGAAACTTTGACCTCCGAGCTAAAACATCCTTGTGAGTATACAAAACCCTGGTTACTGCAGGAGCAGGTGCGTCAGAAAATCCTGAAAGTTGATCAATCTAAGAACAAGGTAGAGTTCAAAATGTCAAAACTTAAGCATCAGA